CACTTGCACACACACACAAGCATACATGCAGGCTCACTTGCACACACACACACAAGCATACATGCATGCTCACTTGCACACACACACACACAAACATACATGCATGCTCATTTGCACACACCCACAAACATACATGCATGCTCACTTGCACACACACACAAGCATACATGCAGGCTCACTTGCACACACACACACAAGCATACATGCATACTCACTTGCACACACACACAAGCATACATGCATGCTCACTTACACACACACACACACACACACACACACACACACACACACCAAAGAAGAAAAATGCTTCTGATGGAAGAATGACACAACCAGACATGTTTCAGAGCATCTTGTTGGCTAGTGGAGAACAGGGTAGGCCTCAGTGTAGTAACTGGGGTGAAGGAGAGAGGTCTATGGAGTGCTAAGATGGGGTTTCATTTGTACACATTTTGAAGTCAGGGACAGCTGATTTGTTGGTCTGCAGTGTGAAGAAGTGAATGAGGATGGTGACATCTCCTGAGCAGTTTGAAGGGAGAAAGCTGCCCTCTCTGTGGTGGAGTAGTCTGAGAGTGGGGAGGACAGGATAGGGTGGTAGCCAGAGTTTGATTTGGGGACATGCTTTTGTTTTTGTCTTGGCATTTTGAGACAAAGTTTCATGCAGGCTGGCTTCAAACTCCTCATTTAGCTGAGGAACTCCTGAGTCTCCTGCCTCCGGGTTCCAAGGGCTGAGATTATACAGGCATGTGCTGCCTCGCTCAGCTTTGAGATGTGCTCATTGTGGCAGTTAACCATTGGACTGGAGGTGACATGTGCCAGCCATGGTGGAGTACAGCTAAGAAACCAAGGCTGCAGGACCCTGCCTAGGTAACATCTATACACAAGTGATGGTCAATTTTTTTTTTATAGCCTGGCTGTGATCATCAAAAAGACTCTCATGGAGAGAGAAACCAGGGCCCAGACCTGTGAGTGTGGGGCAGCTAGTTAGTGGCATGGAGGGCAGTTAGAGAGGCGGAGAGGGGTGAAGACAGAGAGAGCCTGTTGGTCTAGTGCCTAGGTCAGCAGAGCCAGATGAGCACGCTGGTGGGTGGAGTGCTGGACCTGAACACAGAGCTGGACCAGGTTGAAGATGAAACCAGAGGAGATGAATCAGAAATACTAATCTAGGCAACTTTCAAGCTTTTGGTTCTGGGAAAGTTTTAGAAATCAGGCAGAGGGTCCAGTCAGAGGGAGAGCAGCGCTTATTCTAGGCTTTGCCCCTGGCAGTGGGGAAAATAACAGCATATTGTGGGCTAATGAGGAGGACACATGGAGGGGGAAATTGGCCTTGCAGGAGAGGAGAGAATCTGGGACAATGACACTGAGTGTTAAGGGGGTGGGGGATCAGGGCCCAAGAGGAAGCCCACACACAACTCATCAGGCTATCTGCTCCCTGTTCTTGTGAATATGAAGACTTTATCAGCCTCCGCAAGGAGGTAAGGGGTTAACAATGGAGGGCATGGGAAGGATGCATGAAAGAGACATGACCCCCATGGGCCCTGATGGACCTGAAAGATTTAGTGAGCAGAGAGGACATGGCAGTTGTAAGGTACTGCGTAAGCCAAAAGTCCGTCTGTGGTTCTGAATGAGCTAGGCTGATTTTTCTGGATATCTTTTGGGAGGAATGGTGGCTTGCATTCTTTTGCTAGGCTGGTGCTCCTCAGCAGAGAGACCTGTGTTCTTCACAGACAATTAACAAAGGATAAGCAATTTGGGTAGAGGCAAGTGAAGAATCAGTCCAGAAGAGAGCTTTGCTGTCTGGACCTTCCTCCTTTCTCCGTTTATGTCTGCCAGCCCTGTGCTTGCTTCTTGTACCCCACTGCCTCACCCCCCTCTGCAACTCCATGATCTTTACTGTGGCTCAGGGCCAGGAGTAAAGCTAGGAACAGTGTGGGAGGGTGGCCCCTGCTCCCTCAGAACACTGCTCCTTAGTTGGCACATGAACCTTGCCATGGTGGGTGCAGAGGAAAGAGATCCCCTTTGTAGGGCCGGCCACACTCAGTGGTATTCTAGTCTCTGCAAACGTCTACTTACATAGGTGGAATGGAAGCATATGAGAGGACTGGCATGCACACTGCTTGCAGCTCAGCACACTTCTTCCCCCTTTCTTATCTTGGGCCGGGAGTCTGTGCCAAGGCTTCAATCTTCGCAGACCCATTTTGGGAGATGTCCACAGCCTTGGCTGTCTCTGAACTTCCAGATAAATCTTTCTCTCCCTCCCCCACCCCCATCACTTTCTTTGCTATTTAAACAAAAAAAAAAATCAGCCTGGCAGGACTGGAGAGATGACTCAGTGGTTAAGAACATATACTTCTGTTACAGAGGAGCTAAGATTGGTTCCTGTACCAAGGTTTTCCTTTTGAGCTACCAACAGTCTCCCAAATCATGACAGGGAGACTTCCTAGTTTTGAATGCTTGGCCTGGCTTAGCTCTTAACTGAAATTAACCCATTTCTTTTCATCTAGCTTTTGCCCCAGGGAGTTTTACTCTTCTTACTTTGTATATCTTACTTTCACTGCTTCTTGTATCTGTCTGTCTGTCTGTCAGGCAATGGTTGCTTGGCTTCTTGCCCCAGGTGTTTTCCTCATTCTCTCCTCCTCCCCTTGATCCTAGAGTTCTCCTATTTATTCTCTCTGCCCTCCAGCCCCACCTAGCCTTTCTCTGCCTTGCTATTAGCCATTCAGCTCTTTATTAGACCAATCAGGTGCCTTAGTCAGGTAAAGTGAATCAGATGAAACACATTTTTTCATAATCAAACAAATGCAGTATAAACAAATGTAACACACCCTTACACGGTTAATATAATATTCAGCAGCTTAAATGTAACACATCTTTGCCTAGTTAAAATAATATTCTATAGCAGGTTCCTAGCATCCATGTTGGGTGGCCTGTAAGTCTAGCTCCCTCTTCTGGCATCTGCTGGTACTTGCACCCCCACACACATAGCCCCACATAAAAACACACACATACACACATACATACATTAAAAAAATCTTTTAAAAACTCTTATCAAGGGGCTGGAGAGGTGGGTCAGCACTCGAGAATACTGCTCTTCTAGAGGACCTGGGTTCAATCCTCAGCACCCATATGGCAGCTCACAACTGTCTGCAACACCCTCTTCTAGCCTCTTTGGGCACCAGGTATGCACTTGGTGCAAAGATCTACATAAAGGAAAGACACTCATACACATTAAAAGTGAAACAAGACAAAAAACTCTGCCAACTGTATCCCTGTGAGTCCCATTAGCATCGAAAAACCCAACCGTTATCAGAGCTGTAAGAATAGTAGTGATTTGTGTCCTAGCACTTGGGAGGCTGGGGCAGGTGGATCTCTGTGAGTTAGAGGCCAGCCTGGACTACAGAGTGAGTTCCAGGACAGACTCCAAAGCTACAGAGAAACCCTGTCTTGAGAAAAAACAAACAAACAAAAACCAAAAACAAACAAAACAAAAAACAAAAACTAGTGATTTTTTAACTTAATTTTTAATTGACAACAAAAATTTGAATGTTTTTGATGAATATACTGTTATAAGGCTAAATTACACTAGTTCTTACATCACTTCGCAGGGTTATTTGTGGTGAGGACATTTAGTCTTTCGGCAGTTTTCAAGTATACAGTGCTATGTTAACTGCCCTTGCCCATTCCTCCTGACTCTAATGTTCTATTTTCTTTGGCTGACTCCTCCCCATTCCTTTTCCCCCCCTTTCCTCTCCCTTTCTTCCTGACCACACTCAGCTGATCAAGGCTGTAAATTTGGATCACAGTTTGATCCAATTCTGCCTGTCTATTAGCTGGCACATGGTTGGTGACACTCTGAAAGTGTTGGAAGGCTATAAGACAGTATATTTAGTAAATGTGGACCATGGTCACTTTTCTGGCAATTTCTGCTAATTCCTAGACATGCATTGAGCCCCACCTATACTAGGTTCTGTCTGGCCCCAGAGCATCCCCTAAGCAGGAGGATTCCTCTGTTCTTTTCTCTCTGTCCTGGAACTGGGAGAGAGCCTTCTGTGTGGTAATTGCAACGACTGGGGCAAATGCCCAGTATGCCAGGTCCCCAAGCCACTGTCTCTCTCTCCTTTTTCAATAGCTGGGGGTTGGCATGAAGGGCAGGGGCCAGAGTAGTGAAGCCTGTTCAGGCTCTGCCAGGGACTGCCGACCCCCTGGGACCTGAGTTGTAAGCAGTAGACAAAAAGCCTATGACAAAAGGCCTGTGGGAGCCCCGATGAATAGATTAATGAGATCTCCATACGGAGGCCCCACAATGGGATTCTCCACTCAGTCCTTTTGTCCCAGGCTGAGATAATGGAGCTGGAGGAGGCTTGCCCAGAAGGGGGCATCAGCCCTCCTCCACTACAGCTGAGCTGAGTGGGGTCCAGACGCCTCTTCTGGACTATACCCCACCCCCAGTGGGTAATGGAATCTGGAGTCATAGGATTACTGAGGTCTGAAGGGGCTTATGGGGAATGGAGAGAGGTGCTGACACTGTGGTTGCCGTATGTCCCCATACAACTCTGTCTAAATCATGTCACTTAATTTCTAAAGGAGCCCTTTAAGATTTTAGTGAAATGATTGGGCTCCTCCCATGGAGCCAATAGTTACTGACAGAGGGTAAAGCATAGAGAGACGAGGCAGCTGGCTGGTGGCCACACAGTGACAGTGTGGGGTCTGCTGGTTAAGCTGTCAAAGCTTGGGCCAGGCCTGGAGCACCGAGATGGGTGGGGCGTTCTTAGGCAGGGAGGCAGTGCAGGTCTAAGGCTGGTTGTGAAGGCTGAATCACTTCTTTGCAATCCTGGACTTTATTCAAATGAGGAGTGGGGTTGTAGGAGAAACTTTATTCTTATTTCAGTAGTTCTGTAGCCACCGATTGCCATATCCCCCTGTATGGCAAGAGGGTGCTTTACCCAGAGTCCCAGCTACCAGGGCAAGCCACAAAACCCAAACTAGGGACTATGGCCAGCTGTGATCCACATGCAGTTGTGTGACTATGTATTCACAGGGAAAGGGACAGTCTTTTGAGGGCTGCTTGGCCAGGAGGATACAAATTCCCCATGAGGTCTAAAGACCAAATCCACAGTTCTGGGAGACAGCTATGTCTACAGGAAAATACTAAAGCCATTTTCTTGGGCTGTGACTCCCTCCTCAGGCTGAAGGACAAAAGGGCTTGGAGACAGGCACTGCAGGAAGATGTCAAGGGCCAGAGTTTTGACTCCAATCTGTTGTGAAGCAGCTGTGTGATCTTGGAGAGGTAGGGCTCTCTCTGCATCTCTGTCTCCTATAGGTTGGAGTAACAACACGGGGAAAGCACAGAGCAGGGGTCTATGAAACAGCACGAGGACCATCTTGCCCTGTCCTGCTGGAAGGAGTCTTCTTGACAGCTCCTTGCCCCAGCCCCCAGTCAAGTGACCTGTTCAGCCATTGAGTCAGAGAAGGGGACTACTTGGGACTTGCAGTTTGTACTGCTTTGCACACATCGTTTTATATCCTTAATCCTCTTATGTATTATGCCCTTTAACCTGGAGAAAATGAGGTTCTATAAAGTTGGGTAGTCTGCTCAGGGTTCCCTGTAAGTGTCTGTGAAACAGGTCTCCCTGATTCAGGGCCCCACTCTTGCCCAAGTCCTGGTGTTCCTCACCCCTGGCTCTGCTGACCCAGAGCCTATGGGATAGAGTGAGTGGGGAGTGAGGGGAAAGGTTAACTGTGTTGGAGTGTTAAGGGCTGGTAGGGAGGAGGGAGTTAGTGATCTCTGTCCACTGAAGGCCAGGCTGGTGTAGTTTGGCCTGTGAGGAAGTAGCTGGGACCACTCTTCAGTGTGTATACAGCCCAGGTACTCTTGTGGGGACCTGCACTGTCAAGGGCACATAGACCTAAAGCTGTATGTACTCTTGTAGTATAGTGTGTTTCTGGGATCCTTTTTGCTACCATTTCAACCTGAAAGCAGATTGTGGAGCCTGGCATCCCTCCACTTTTTGTTTGGGCCCAGGCCTTAGGCACTCAGATTCAGACCAATCTTTGTCTTTTCCCTCTCTAGGCTTGAGGGAAATGCAGTGCTCTAGAACTCAGCTTAGCAGAAGTTGCCAGATGTGTGGCTCCTTGCCTACCTGCTAGCCTAAAGGACATGTGGCAGATCACGGTCACCACACCAAAACAAGGGGTGCAGAGCCATTCTGGCAGCTACTGGGGACCCAGGGAGGTCATTTTGGAGATGTGATGAGTTACACTTTCGGTGGGGAAGAGCTGGTAGGCAACAGTTGGGTTGGACTGAAGGGGTCAGACCAGATCCTGTGTTGGGTCAAGGTGAGGATCTACAGCTGAGGTGGGTGGGCCATCAGGGGTTTGGCCTACAAGGTGTATACAGATGCAGGTAAAGGTGGCTTTATTTTTCCCCTTTCCTGGCTAACATGGAAAGACTATGGTCTAAAATATCTGAGGAGACAAGCCAGCGATTAAGTAGTATGGGGTGACATGCCAGGCATCAGGTCCCCTCTAGAGAGGGCTGATTTTTTTCAGAAGAGAGTGAGAATCAGGCTCAGAAGACAGGTCAAAGTGGAAATGGACCCCAGGGCCCATAGTCTGATGAGTGATTCCCAGGGGGTACTTGGTGAAGGCTTAAGATTGCCTGGCAAGGGAGAAGGAAACTCATGGAGACAAGTTCAGGCCTGGGCCTTATTGTGCCCTTCCCCTTTTGTAGGGTTAGTGTGTTCAAGGGAGACACAGTCTCCAAGGTCACATTTTTGCTCTGTATTGATGATCAAGGAGCCAGAGCACAGGTTGGGGTGGACCCTGGGTTTGATGTAGGAAAATGACATTTGCATTTGTATAACTGATGCCACTTCCTGTGACCCCATCATTGAACAAATTGTGACTTGATATCCCAGGAATCTGCCCCTTTGTCACCAGGTAATGGCTCTCATCTTGGAAAGCCCCTCAGGAGGAGCTGGGAATCTGAACACATATCCTTCACCTCTTGTGTTTGTTCTTCCTTCCGGCTGCTGGTACCCACCACCACTATCATTCTCCTGAGAGGTACTAGTGCACAGCTCATGCCTTTTCTAGATGGACCAGCAGGCCTTTAGGCTACAAGGCTGATAGAGATGTAGATAAAAGTGAAAATGGGGCCATTTCATTTCCCAAGGTTGTTTCTTGCCGTCAGTCAAGTCACAGCCACAAAAGCAGTGAGCCGCTGCCAGTATGGATGTCTGTGTGGAACTGGGAAAACACTGTTTCCAGCCCCCTGAGCACATACTCCATCATTCCAAAAACCGCATTTCCTGGTCCTCTCTATAGGCTCAGAGTGTGTAGTTTTGTAGGTGTGCACTGTACCAGGGCCTAGTGTAGCTCTGTAGGTTGTGATATGTCTCCAGCAGGTGGCAGTAAAGTGCCCGGCTGTGGTTTGCTTTATTTTGTGCTGCTAAAGCTGGTGTTAAACTACAGGGCAATGTCTGAGTGCAAGGACTGCAGGTGTGTATAACTCTGTCTGTCCTGCTAGCCCTGAATGTACTGTTCCTGTCATCCGGGATGCACTGCTCCCTGTAACTGTTCAAGATGCCATAAAGACATTAGCTCTTCGGTGAGTCCTCATCCAGGAGAGCCATGTTCTTCTGAGGCCTAGGGCCCCATGCAGGCACTCTATTTTCTTACTTCACGAAGGATGTTATTTACTTGACTTCTCCTGCTGGCTGAGCCATCCTAGTGTCCCTTTAACCTAGCCCCATGCCTAGTAAAGTACATAGCATTGCTCAATACAGTTTTTGCAGAGAAGCTAGACGCAGTGCTCTGTAGTGTTTACCTGGCCTGTGGGAGCCTTGGGTGCCCCTTGTGCAGTCACACACACACACACACACACACACACACACACACACCCCAATACAAAGTTTGCTTAAGGAACAACCTGCTAACAAAATCACCAAAAGCTTGGGCTTGAGAAATAATCACCACAGAACTTGGGTTTGGGTGTGCCATGGGCTCATTTAGTCTTTGAAATTTTGTTCTTCAGTCAGGCTGACTCATTGGAGCCACGTGCCAAGACAGTACTGTTCCTCAGGTCCTGAATCTCTCACTACTTCAGGACTCATGCCTTGATGGATGCCAGAGGACAGTTTAGGGACCAGCCTTGGGACGTTTTTGCTGTTTATGGTACAGAGATATTGTTATATCTCACAGATCTGCTCTGTGACCTGCCCACACCAGGAATCCTTGTTCCTTCTGGGAACTGGTGTTTTGCAAAGTGAGTCTGATCATACTTCTCTCTTTATTTGGTGACTGGGAAGCTCAGAACAAATTAGGGTCCACTTTTTTCTTTTTAACTCCTCCAGTGCTGGTGATAGAACCCAGGTCCCTGAGCATGCCAGGCAGTACTTTACCGGCCCTCGGATAGACTTAATGATATCAGCATGCTCTGTGCTACCCCATGAACCTCAACAAACTATCTGCCCATTCCAAATGCTTATGGGGCGAACGGCTCGCTTTGGATGGAGCAGATAGGAGTACCTGCCCAGACTCCATAACTATTACAAACAGCAGTTGGCAGGCTTCTAGTTTCTTTAGGCAGAGGCACAAAGAAATCAAATGGCAAGGAAATAAGTGTTGCTGGGTTAGCCACTGTGGTTTCCAGGGTCTATGGGCAGGATCACATACCGGGGCACAAAGGTGAACAGACCATCTCGGAATGGTAACCTGTTGGACCACCTAGCCAGGAGCTCTGGGCCTGCCTCACTATCTTTACAAACCCTGACACTCCTGCAGTGGCCAGCACATAGTGGGTGAGCAGCAAGTATCTGCCACCCACGAGCCTCATGTGGTTTAGCTCTTCCCCCAGCCTGACCCTTCCCTCCTTTAGGTCCCAATAATGAAAGACCTTTGCTCCATAGAGGAGTATAGGTGGTATGGTGAGAATAACTATTGCCTCATGTGTGCAGTTCAGGCTAACCATGGCATTTCTGGGTTCCTCTTGATGCCGAGGAAACTATTAAAAAAAAAAAAAAAAACCGCAAAACTAATTCTAGGTCCCAAGGGCGGGAGGGTAGCCTGTCATCATCTAAGTGTGGGGTCCCCCAGTGGGACCCCAGAGCCACTGCAGGGCTGACCAGCCACCGTTCTTCTTGTCTGCAGCTCTGTCGAAGATGCACTGGACACCAGAACACGCCCAGCCCCTCAACCAGTGGCCAGAGCAGCATCTGGACGTCTCCTCCACTACCCCATCCCCAGCCCCCCACGTGGG